CATGGTCCACTGTAGTAGTCCAGGTCCCATGACCCCAGGTGGCAGCACAGGTCATCCAGATGGTCATGGATGGCCCAAGCAGTAGCATGGCCCTTGGACACCAACATGGCCCCAGGTGGCGGCCTAGAATCTGGGAATCCCAATGGCCCTCATGGCAACATCTCTGACATCATCAGAGACCTTGGCTATAGTAGGGCTACAGGTTTTTCCCCTTTCTGTTTCACCCGTTTTGTATTTATTTTATCCTTAATTTTGCTTTTTAAAGGTTTATTTTGCTCATTTTCCTGCTGCTGAGCTAGCAACTTCAATTGTTGACTTGAGGCCTTTCTTTGCTGAATATTTGGAAGAGATTTGCTGAGTATTTGGAATAGAGATTTATTCCTCAGCATTGATGTTACGCTGTGTCCAACAATTTTTAATATTATCATATTTTGTTTTGTTTAATTCAGAGTATCTTCTAATTTTCTCTACAGCTTTTTCTTTGATCTGTTCATGGACAGACTAGAAGTGTGTTGCTTAATGTCTAAGCATTTGATGATTTTTCTCCTTTTTAGTTTCCGACTCCAACTTTTGGTATAATTACATTATGGTCAGAGAGCATAGTTTGTCTTTGGTGTTTCTAAGTGTTTTAAGGTTTGTTTTGTGACTTAGAATATCTTATTAAAGTTCCTGTTCACTTGAGTGCCTATAGAGCAAGAGTGCAAGAGATTCTCTTGATGCAAGTTAGACCTTGCTGGTTGATAGTATTGTTTGAAGTTCTTAGGCGTTCTTTCTGACTTGCCTTTTTTTTTTTTTTTTTTTTCCTTTCTGGATTAATGACACAGGAGTGTTGATAACTCTAACAACAATTGATTTGTGCATTTCTCCTTCCTGCTCTATTCATGAATCTGACACTGCAGTGCCAGACTTGGGTACATTGGGATCACTGCTTTTTATCATCACACAGTATCCCTCTTGCTCTTGATGGAGTCTTTGTGTTGACATTATTATAGCTTTCTTGTATTTAGGGTTCGCACACTGTTATTTTCTATTCATTTAAAATATGTTTAACCTGTATTTTATATGTATGGTGTTTGGCCTGCTTGCATGTCTGTACACCACGTGCATTCTGTGTCTGTGGAGGCCAAATGAGGGCATTGGACCCCCTGGGACTAGAATTATAGATGATTTTGAGCTCTGTGTGGGCACTGAGCATCAAACCTGGGTTCTTTAGATGAGCATAATCTCTGAATTTTATCTCCAGTCCCCCTTGTTTATTTTGAACTTACTTCTATCCTTAGGTATATAGTATAAATTTCTTGTATATAGCACACAATGTTTTTTTTTATAAATATTATATTTATTTGTGTGTGTGTGTGTACATACATGTGTGTGCAACATGAGTGTGGAGGTCAGAGGACAACTTGCAGGAGTTGTTTTTTTTTTTTTTTAATGGCTTTTCTTTTAACATGTACGTCCTAGGGGTAGAACTCAGGTTGTCTGACTGGTTAGCTATCTCATCAGTCTCATAACTGGCTTTAAAATCTGTTCTAATAGCCTCTGTATTTTAGCTCAGATATTTATTCCATTTACATTTAACATATATCGATGTGTTTTGGCTTAATTTTTTTGCAAACAATTTTTAAAACAATTTTAATGTCTTATTTTTCTTTTCAAATCTCATTTTTTCCAGTATTTGAATACTTTTCATACTTCACTCAAATATATTTGATTAGATTTTAAATAGATCTTTGTACAGTTTACCTTCAAATCCTTAAGACATTTTAGTACTTGCTTTTGAGATGACTTCTCTCTCCTCCCCCCTCCTTTCTTTCTCATCTTCATTTTCATTCTCCCTCTCTCCCTTTATTTCTCCTCTCCTTTCCTTTCACCATAAGTAAGATGTGAAATGTTATTATTGTCTTTATCCCAAATGTAACATACTTTGACATCTCTCCCCAGACTATGTTATGGTTTTACTTCATCTGTCACATATATTTTAAACAATTTATGGGCTTTTCATTTGAATAGTTTCTGTAACTGAATATGTAGATATTAACAACTTACATTTCTGCTCCTTCCACTTCCAGGGTTCCACACTTCCTTTGGTATCACTTCCTTTTAATCTGAAGAACTTCCTCTGTCGTTTCCTTTAGAGCAGGTCTGTTGCTGATGAATCTATTTATTTTCCTGCATTTGAGAGTGCCTTGTTTTACCTTCATTCCTTAGTGTTGTTCTTCGATGTAGAATCTTGCATGACAGTTTCCTTCAGCCTGTAATGTTTCCCATGTCCCTGGCCTCTAGTGGATGGAAACATTTGCTGCCTTTTGAAACCCCCCCCACCTCTGTGTGTAATATGTCAAATTTCTCAGGCTTTCAAGCATTGTTTTTGTCTCTAGTGTGCACCATGGTTTAGATGTGAAGTCCTAAGCCATTTTCCATATAGAAAGTTTTAAATTATTTTTTGGGGTATATTTTTTCTGAAATGTACTCTTTTTCTTATTTATCTTTTAATATTTTAGATACTTTGATAGAGTTTTGGATATTGTCTCACAGGCTGTATTAATGATTTTCAATTTTGTCTCTTCTTTCCTGTTGGATTTTTTATTGATTTGAAATTGGATTGTCTCTGTTTGAAGTCTATTTTGTTGTTGTATTTTTGGCTATTATAGTTTCCATTTTTACAATTTCTGTTTGGTTTTCTTTTATAATATCTGTTTCTGTACTGATACTTTTTCTGATACTTTTATTCATGTCAATGTACAAAACTTTACATTTTTTTTTTTTTTTTAATGGAAGTGGCTTGAGACAGTGTCACTATGTTGCCCAGGTTGTCCAACTTTACCATCCTCATTCACTTCCTGAATGATGGGATTACAAGTGTATACCAACATGCCTGACCCAGGTTTCTCATATTTATATAGTCGGATATGTTTATTTTTCTCTTACAGAAACCCAGGAGATTGATTTTTATCATTCTTATGTTAGAGATAAAGAAACAGAGGCTCAGAGTCTAACTGAAATGTTGTAATCTTTCATCATCTCTCCTTTTCCCATTTCACTGTCTCTCTTTTATGTAAACAGTAGTCTACTATATATAAAGTTGTATGCTGTAACATTTCTATTTAACAATGTGTCTTGGAGATAAGTACACAAACTGTTCTTTCTTTATTATGTCTTTGTAATACTCCATTGAGTGGACATACCATGATTTATTTAACCATAGACTGTTGGTTATAGTAATTTAAATTAACCATGTACTATTCAACTTTAAGAATGCTTTAAAGTTCTTCAAGATACATGTTTAAAACTGTAGAAGATATATAAGATGCATGGTACACATGTGTGAATAGTTCAGTGAATTAACAACAACAACAAAAAATGCCACTGCCATCAATGAATGGTACTGATAAGAAACAGTATTTTTAGCACCCCAGAGGACTCCTTCATTGATGGTCCCAGTTGCCACCCACTGTTCCTTCCCAGCAGGTAACTATCATTCTAAACTCATTTCAAGTCCTTTTCTACCTGTGCTTCTGTCATTCCTGACTGCAGTTCTGGGAAAGGAATCCCCCACTCCAACCCCCAGGCAGAGATTTAAAGCTTGAAGCAAAGAAGCTCAGTGTGGGGATGGTGGGAGGGCTTTGAGAACATGTAGCTGTGTAAGTGTGGTGGTGGTGTTTGTGTTGACATAGAAAGTTAATTTAGTGTGTAGGTTAACGTCTCCTTGGAGTTAGGCTAGTCTTTTTGTTAGCCTGCTTAGAATGCTGGATCAAAGAAAAAATGTCAGCTACTTTCCATAGACAGTGAGGTGTACTTGGCAGGTCAGGTTGCTGGAGTCCCAGCAGGATAGGAGCCTAGCTATTGTACTATTGGTGTGGTCCTTGATCTTTTCTACAATGGGGGTAGTACTTCTACAGTGTAGCTTAGGAGTTGAGGCTCCACATACGAAGTTATCTAGGTCAATATTTTTTTTTTACACAGTTGGGTCGCAGTAAATATCACTTTGTATTATAGCTCTGCCCCCTTACTTTGACAAATTTTAAACTCACAGAAAAGTTGTGAAATTATAGATCATTGTAGATTCACTAGTTAATGTCCTACATTTGATGTATCTTTTTTCTTTTCCAGCACTTTTACTGCAGTTATCACCACACAGTTATTTGGCATAAGTTGTCTTGTTAGAACACTTTTCTAGAAAATATGTTACAATCTGACATAAAGTTGTATTCTGGTTTCCCCTAGTTATTACCACCATATATAATACAAATTTAAACATTTGAGAGTCTTCCATTGTGCTTACCTGTCTTGTTTCTGTAACCTCAGTTTGTTTGAAGGTCCCCACTGTCATTTTTTACTAGATTGCCATTAGGGTTTTTGAAGAATTCAGGTCTGTGCAAAAGTACAGTCCTTCAGTTTGGGTTATTCTGATTGACTCCTTATTGGGATTTGGGTTAATGACTGCAGACTGGAGTACTTTAGATGAATTGTTTGCTCCCAGTGATTTCTTTCAGGAGGCACATGACATGACTTTGACCCATCAGTGATGATAATAGTTATATTTTCTTGATTGAGTTGGTATTTGTAAGATAAGACTTCTGTGGAGGATCCATTGAGCTTGACTGTGCTGCTCTTTGTTGCTGCCTTAAATGATGCCATTTAGACTGTTGATGGTTTTTATTTAAGTTGCCATTACTGTAAAAGTTATATACCAGTGGCTGTTACTGTTTTTTGTCTCTTTTTCTCTTCATTTCTCTCCTTCCTCTTCCCTTCCACCGAATCCTATCCCATTATCCCATTCCCATCTCCCATTCTTCTCATTTCCCCCTTCTCCCATGGATATGGAGTCATACATTCATTTTCACTTACTTCTTCCTGTCATTATTCATTTTGATGCTCAGATTGTCTTTTTTGTGGCTAGTGGGAATGGTGTACTGGTGTAATTGCAACCAGGGTAAGCTCTTTCTGGCACTTGGCCTAGCTACTGTACCCCAAGTAACTGTCCTGTGCTTGCTTTGCAGCAAATCACTGAGCTGAAGAAGGAGAATTTCAACCTGAAACTTCGCATCTACTTCCTTGAGGAGAGGATGCAGCAGGAGTTTGCTGGCCCCACCGAGCACATCTACAAGACTGTGAGTAGCCATTTCTGGCTGCTATCCCTTGTGTCTTTGCTCATGTTTTTTCCGAGAAGACATTTGACTGGTATTTGTTCTTAGCGTTAGCATGAACAGCTGTTGTCATTTAATTTGGATTGATTTTGGGGAACAACATGATGCTAGCTAGAATAACCCTCAATAAAGTGAGATGTATGATCTTAAGGAAGTCTTTTAATCTTCCTGACATCAGATTTCTGGCTCACAGTCTTGGTCTTTTTATAATTTTTTATTATTTTGAAACAGGCATTGGAATAGCTTTGCAAGTGAATGGTAGTGTTTTCAACTAGTGGAGGGGGTGACTTTTAGCCAGTCAACCCTTTGTCTGGGCTTGCTTCCACAGTGAAGTGTTAGCCCTGGGGCTGTTTGGAGGAAACCAGGTGACAGGTACAAAAGGCATGACAGGTGCAAATGGGGTGATAAGTGCAAATGGGATGAATTACTCCAGGAAGCAGCCAGTGCTGAGCAGTCACCATCATTGCTTTATAGACTCTTTGGCTGCCCAGAGTTAGGAAGGACAGATTTTCTGCAGTTTGACACCTACATCCCTGTGTGCTTACTTAGAACTGTCAAGAAAAGTCTCTTTTCATTTGAAGTCCTAACCTGCGGGTCTGTGTCTATAAACATACTTTGTTTCTGAAAGTTGCAAGTAGAATTTGGTTTGCTAGAGATGCCATGAGTCCAAACAGTACTTTCGCTGGTAGATTAGCCCCTGGCCTAGGAATTATTCCATCTTCTTGTGTCTGAAGTTTGTGCTGATGAAAACTTGTGAAAGGGGGAAAGGCGCTGCAAGCAGGGTGGGAGTTGAGGACTATATAGGCTTTCTTAAAGAGGAATTTTACTACCTTTCTAAGTAAGCCCTTTCAGGAGCCAAGCAGCTTCCTCGTCCCTGAAGGCACAGTTTCTTCCTATAGTGTCAGGGTGGGAAGACAAAGAGGATGGCCCTGTTTGGACACAGTGCTGATAAAACCAGAGTCTAAAGGGGAACCAATAATTAGAGCACACTGTATTGTGGCCAAGCATCTCAGGACTTCAGGTAGCAGATGTTAAACTGTCTGCTCCCCACTGGGCCCGCAGCTCTTTGGGGCTCTTACACATTGGTCATTTTCCTGTGATTCTCAGCACAGTCCCAGACAGTAGAGATTATCCTGATCTTACAGTGAGGAAACAGAGGCAGTAACTTGCCTACTGTCATGGTGATACAAAAGTGGGTTTTGAGCCTCACCTGCCTGCTGCATTGTACGTCTTCTTTTCACTGACTGAATGCCTGCTTTAATTATCTCCCTCACCAGGCTTTTGTATAGGTATGTGTGGTTCAGAATTTAAAAGAAAAAAACAAAAACAAAAACAAAAAAACATAAAATATGGGTCCTAAAAGATGTTCTGCTCTGATCCTTGAGCCCCTGGATCTAACCAGTATTATTGATGTCCTGTGCAGAGGAGTTTTGTGTAGAAATTTACATAAATTTCTGTGTGTAAACTGGTTTTGCATAAGTACCAGCATGTTCTGTTTTGCATTTTGCAAAAAATTCATTTAATGATTTCTTGCATATCTTTCCCAATAGTAAAGAGCTGTTTCACTCTTTGTTTTATAGCTTTATAATAGTTCATTTTGTGCTTTGAAGACGTTCTGACTCTTGGTTTGGAAACAGCTATCATCTTACACACATTTACAACTTGAGATACTTACTGTGCATGGAGAACATAGGCATGCTAGTTAGCCATTGGGTCATACACAAGCCATGCTCCTAGAACATACTCTGTCTGCTTCTACTCCTGCTCTGCCCTGTGGGAGCTGGAGGAGGAACTCAAGGCTTGGAGGGTGTTTCTCACAGAGGCACACATGAAGACATTGTGCACTGCCTCTCAGGGTCTTGTCTTATACAAAGGAACATTTATTCTAGAGATAAATTCTGCCTCATAGACAGACTTCTTGAGTTCTGAGTTCCTGTCTGACAGCGAAGAGAGCAGCACAGGCTTCTCTCAGTGCTTATTTGGTTCTCAGTCCTCACGTCATGTAGATGCCTTGGTCCTCTCTTGACAGTTGTGGGATCTGACAGTCACAACTCTGCTTTCTTATCCCTTGGATGTCTCTAAGGACAGGCACAAGGTCATACTGCTGGCTGCTGTATTCTCATGAAGTCAGAGCCAGTTAGGTCTGTCATGTTGACTTCAGTGTCCTTATTGCAATGCCTGCCACTAGCACTCAGGTGTCTGTGAGGTAAATACATGAGTGTCCACCTGCTGTCATTCTTTTCCTGTGAAGGGGCCATGTCCTTCAGTGTGGGCTGCACTCTTGACTGGTGTGCTCTTCTCCTCTGGGACACTTGACAGAAAGGAGGGAGGCATGTCCTCTGAATTGTAAATTTTATGAAAATGTTATTATTTTAAAAATACAAATATGGTAGAAAAATGTAAAATCAGCATAACTTATTTTAAAAAAAAGTGAGAATTCAGAGAAATCTTGGTTTGCTATCAGTCCTTTGCATGCTGTATCCAAGTCTCCACGACATGAATTCTTTGTACATTCTGTCTGAACTGCATTTGTGGCTAAGTCAGAAGGCCACCATTCCTCTGCTGCCTTCCACTGGCTGCCACCTGCCAAAATTTCTGTGTTTGTGTTCTCACATGAGTGAGTGAGTTGTGAGCCCAAGGCCATGTGCAACTTCCTTTGTTCCAGTCCCGTAAGGGAAAGATGGTTTGATGGCCCTGTGATATCTCTTAGAGACAGCTCCCTATATAAGCTGGTGCTTTTTTGAGTGTCTTGAAATCTCCCAAAGAAACAAGACAGGCCAGGCTGCAGCCTCCCATTTATTCATTCACAAGTTTTATTTTATTTTTGTTTTTAAATCTGGAACACGTTCCCACTGCAACAACCACATGCGTGATTGTAAACAACTAGAAGTAATTGCCTTTGAATGGGAAAAGCAAACTGTAAATTTGCTTGGCGGAGGGCAAACAATTTTTAAATCAGCTTCACTTGTATGACATTTATGCCTAGATATTTGAATGCTCTGGTTGTTAGACACTTGGAACATTTACATAATTGTTCCAAGTCTTAAGGAATCCAGGGATTTCTTTTGAGACCACCAGAACTTAATAATTCCCCTTTTCTCTGCCTCAGGGCTAATGAGGGTTTTGAGTCTAACATCTGCTGTTATAAGGGTGGCATAGTTAGTCCAGGCCAGAAGTAGTTTGCCCACCATTAGCGCTGCTACTCCTGCTCCTTACACTGTGTCTTTTTTATTACTTTACCGCCTCTGGAAGAACATTGAACTCAAGGTGGAAGTGGAAAGTCTGAAGCAGGAACTCCAGGAGAGAGATCAGTTGCTCGTCAAAGCCTCGTGAGTACCTCACCCCAAGAGCTTGGCCATTTGTCCCATGGGTGGGTGTTGGGCTGGGTAGTGAAGCATAGCCAGCTGATTTTCCAAGCCACTTGTTTTCTGACTGTGGGCTCCAAGGGGCTTGTAATTTTTATTTGTTTGTCAGCTGGTTTTAGAATATATATTATAATGTAGTTATAGGAGGATATACAGGACTTATGGGTACAGTGTGATGGATTTTTATGAAGCAAGCACGTATGTGGAATACCCATCTGAGCCTGAAAGGAAACATCACCAAGTTTCCAAAAAACCTCCTTCCTTCATGTTTTCAGAGCCTCTCCCTTTTCCCAGGACACCCACTTTTCTCAATACAATTGCTTAGTTCTGCCTACTTTTGAACTTTATGTAAATGGATTTATGCAGTAGGTCCCTTTTTGTGTCTAGCTTCTTTCCCTGGCATTGTCTATGATAGTCAAGTCACTTGTGTTGTGTTTTGGGAGTTTGTTTGTTTTCACTGATGGAAATGCCTAGGAGTAGAAGGGGTTCTGGTGAGTGAGACTGGGAGGCAGAATGAGAGTTTCAGCCCCAGCAATTTGTTTTAAACCTGTTGTGTGTATACTATGGACTCTTGTAGTATTTTATTTAAAGGGATTGTAATGCTAAAACATTAGAAAAGTACTCTATCCACTAATTAGTTCATTTATTCAAATCAGTGTTTATCACAGAATTACTGGCATCATACCCTGAAGATGTGGAGAGACACTGAGTCACGCTCCAACCTCCTATAGCCATAGGCTACTCTGAAGTGCAGTATGTGCAAAAGGAATGTTGTGGACATGTGCTGATGGCATGTGTGGCAAGTGGGGACACCAAAGTGTGCTCAGGTTTGCTCCAGGAGAGTGGAATGTCTTCCCAGGTGGTCCACAAGGGCTAGTTGGAAGTATTTGTACTGTTGTCATGGCAATGGAATGAATACCTGTGGAGGGCCAGGAACATGCTCACAGCATTCCTGGCTGGACAACAACTGAGTCTGGTGGCTGCAAGTTGGCTATTATGGCTTGGGGGCAGACCAGAGACTTCTAAGCCCAAGCTTCTCCTCTGAGTGCTACTGAATGAGTAAATATATTAAGAAATATACCAGTCTGCTGTATCAGGCCCAAGCTGTATGTGAGTTTGCCTTAATACTCATTGCCTCAGTGCTGCAAATCTTGGGTATTACTTGTTTTTGGCAAAGTACATATACATTGAAATCACAGCTCACATGGGGCTCATGCACATTCTTCAATGCTATCACTCAGGATGGGGTGTTTTGGGTGCTTGCATGCATGTTTGTATACTTCTCTGCCAGTCTTTGTATTCAAGGCCCTTTGTGATCTGACCAGTTTTGTTAACTTATTCAGAAAATACTTACTGAATGTCAGTTATGTGGTACTGTGAGGCTGCTGGTAATACAGTGGTAGTCTAAACAGCTACATGAGACTTGCATTCTTCTGAAAATGATGATTTATATTGACACATGTATGACTACAGGTTGAGAGAAGAACCAAAACAAGAAAAAAGGAACTGTGAGAGTTGATAGCTATGACAATAGATGCATAGCATAGCGAAATAGAGGGAAGGTATGCCTGCAGAGGTGACATGAAGTATGAGGGGTCAGTAGAATTAGACAGGCAAGCAGATGGAGAAGTGTCAAGGAAGAGCCTGTGGCAAGTCTGAGAAAGTAGGAGGAAAATAGTGCACTTAAAGATACTGGTCTTTGCTCCACGGTTAGGTAAGTAAGATAAGTTAGATAAGGGACACTATGTGGAGTTTGCTTTTTGGAAAGGACATTTTAAATTTTGGGTGAAAGAGGTAATGTGAGGATGCCAGGAGAACATTTAGGAAACCAGATTGGTAGGTGAGGTGAGAGCTGACATGGATGCTAGGCTAATGGGAAAACCTTAGGAAGCACAGCTCACACACAGGCCTTGGTGATGGTGACAAGGGAGATGTTGGGTGTATTAGTCACAGTTATGTTGATGTGATAAAATAATTTGGCAAAAGTGTTTTGGAGAGAGGTTTATTTTAGCTTATAGTTCCAGAGGGATAGCATCCATCATGGCAAGGAAAGTGTGGCAGGAACAGGAAGCTGGCTGATCACTTTTTTTTTTTTTTTTTTTTGCCCCCATAAAAAGCAGAAAAAATAAACAGAAATTGTTAGTCTGCAAAACCTCAAAGCCCATCCCCAGTGGCATTCTTCCTCCAGCAAGGTTCTATAATTTTCCCAAACAATGCCACCAACAGGGGACCAAGTATTTAAATACATGAGCCTATGAGGGACATGTCTTATTCAAAATGCCACACAAGGAGAGGCTCTCTGGGGTTAAAGGGTTAAGGTCATGAGCTTTATGGATGAATGCTGACATTGACTTAATAATTTCAGCCTCCTCTCTATCACCTCTTTCCCCAGCACATCCTAGAAGTTCTAGATAGATGTTCTTACTCTTGCTTCTCTAGATTCTATAGATACCTTCCCTCCTTAGCCCTCCCAGCCCAGGACATTCCCATCCTCTCCTTGTTCTTTAAGACTCAGGGGTCTTTGTAGCTTCTTTTAGCCTATAGTGGCCTCTTCCATAGACTTCTCCATCATATGGTGTCCATCCCACATGGGTAGATCTTTTACATGTCTAAAATACTTTCACACCCACATATATCATTATTCCAGCAAATCTCAAGGAGTACCCTCATTTTATAGGAGAAGGAATGAGGCCTAGTAAAGAGAAGGGCCACGATCTTAGAACTTGGGTTGGGGGTCAAGTCTCACTTTTTTCTTTTTAATCTGTCATGTGTTGACATAGTGTGTGCACAGTATTTCTAAGTGATTTTTTAGTGTCTCCTCATATCTGCTGCTGGGCCTTTTCCTTTTGCTGCTGACTCCCAGAATCCAGCAGTTTGTCTGTGGTAGATATTGATGGAGTCTGTTAATGCAATGCTGGCAACCCTTTTTTTCTGAGTTGAGTTTTGGTTGGGGAAGGGGTAGGACATGGACTTTGCTACAGGAAAAGAACAACTCCAATTTCAATGGAAATAATGTAGAGGAAGTGTTGAAGGTTAAAAAATAGTAATGATGGGAGTGTTTATGGATGGTTCTTTCATATTGAGTGGAAAGCTGGTGTATATCTCTTAGGTCTGATAGTCTGCCTGATTCTACATACAAGGGAAAAACAATGGTAGAGGGAGAGAACTAATATTGGTTCTGATTCTCCTTTGTCCAAACCTGTATGTGCAGTGCTTGACAATTGTATGAGGCTGCCAGTGTTCCCATTTGAATGAAGAGAATGCTGAGACCCAGAGAATTGTACTAAGTTGGTTTCCATGTTGCTCCTGAGCCCATTCTGCCTTGATGTAAAGTAAACATATTTGTGTGCTGGTTTTCTATTGTTCTGAGGGGACATTAAAAACAAAAGCAGTCATATTGTTGGGAGCAAATTTTATCTCTGTAGCTTTAAAACACGAACAAAAAATAATAATTCCATTAGCAGAGGAAAATTGCACCATACTGCTGAGTATAAATTTTATTGCTACAGTAACTGTAAAATACAAAGATGATGAATGAAAAGTTGGAACATTTATTATTGTGAATATATTTTATTGGTATAACTAAAACACAAACAAGCTGAATAATGCTAGTAGTTGCTAAAAATTGTACACCCTCTTGACAGTGTGTGTGATTCAGGCTGTGAAATGGTAAGATTAGATCTGGGCTTATGGGATGGAGACCAGAATGCAGCAGAGGGAAGGGGCCATACAGGGGACTCTGCAGAGCCCCATGGCTAACACATCTATGAACACCTAGGTAGAAGGAATTTGGGACCAGAAACATCTGTACAGGAGCTGGAGAGATACTGAGTGGGTTAAGAGTTTATTGTGCAAGCACAGGGTTTCCAACACCCATTATCAAATCTGGTTAAGGTGTTTGTAATCCTAATGCTGGGGATGGGGTGGAGGGCATGGGGAGGAGTGGGGCTTGATGTTTAAGGAACATCAAGTGATAGACACTGTTTAAAAAATAATAATAAAGTGGACAGCAATAGAAGACAGTGTCACCCTTTGTCCTCCATACACTTATGTGCATATGTCAAACATACACACACACACACACACACACACACACAAACACACACACACACACAGAAAGATAAAAATCTCTGTCTACATCTTGGGAAAGAGAGGATGCCAAAATTCTTTTTGTCATCTGTAATGCCCCTTGAGAAGATACAGAAATGGCTGTGAGTCACTGAATTGGAGACAGCACTGATCCCAAAAATGAGCTGAGTGAGTGGGGGCTGAGGACACTTAGGGCAGTGATCAGGAAGTGAGCATGTTGGCCGCAGTTCTGGCCAGGGGTTGATCTATTCTGAGCTCAGAATCCAGCAGAGGGGTGGCAGGAGGCCTCTCAGCAGCACAGCAGGGCTTGTGCTGCCCTGGCCTCACAGGAGAGGTCTCACAGCAAGATGTGGGGGTGGAGGGAGCATGCAGAGTGCTGAGGCAGGGCTGCAGAGCACCCAGTGTGGTAGCCCATTAGTTCCAATAGGTAATCATCTCATTTTTCACATGAGGAGGCTGAGGTGCAACAACTAATTTACTGGGGCTAGGTAATTTACCCAGAGCCACACTGGGCGTGGGATAGAACGAGAATTTAAAAGCAGATCTGTCCAGCCTGAGCCAGTGTTCCTCCTTTCAGTATTCACACTGAATTCCATTAATGTGATAGAATGATGGTTTTTTGAAGCCTCGCCGAAAGGAAAACGAGATAAAATAAAGCCTTTACTTGTAGGTGATCTCTGTGGGAGACTTGGTCAGCCAGCACAGCCCTCTGGGTGGCACTGTTCTGGATGAATGTTTCACGTGGCCCAGTGCATGAACACCTATCTGGTTATACGGCTTTGGGTTAGGGAATTTTATATACTACTAAGTGGCAAGTTTTGTTTGGTTTTCTGCTGCCGTTTTTCTGAGAAGCCAGCTTTAGGTGGAGCTGTTTCCTCAGATTTCCTTCTGGAGACTGCAGTCATTTACAATGCAGTGAGAGCTGAAGTCTCACAAGCCCCGCAGCCAGCACTGCCTTCCTTTCTGCATCACTGGTCATGGCCCTGTGTCTGGTTTTAGTGTCATGCCTGCCTGATTGTCCTGCAGAGAGAACATTCTAAGGTGCCACAGCTGAATGCCCTGGGCATTTAATATCACAACACCAGGTATAGGATACTTGTAACTATGTCCCTCTTCACACCCTAAGTCCTAGCCTGTGCTTAAAATGCTTGCTGTGCTTAAAATGCTTGCCTTCAGGCTAGTGCAGGGTGGGGCTTGCAAACCCTAACCTCACAGATGTGTTTGTTGCTTGTTGCTTCTTTGCCTATTGGTTCCTAGGCCACCTTTCCTATATGTCTGATGTAAGAGTACTAATGGGAAATTTGGCAGTTGCTATCCAGAGATTTAAAGTATGCTTACCCTTAGGCTCTGAGATTTCTTTTCTAGGAGTGTGTACCTAGAAACCATTAAACCATTCACTGATGTTTAGTGAGCGGTTGTTTTGTGCAGGTACCTCTTCTCAGATTGTGGTGTTATCAGTTAAATGTATTACATCAAAAACAATTTAGGTCCTTAAAATATAGAGAATTTATTTAAGAAAGTATTGTGATATAGTCTTTTAAGATGATGATGCAGATTTATATTTATTGACTATTCTAAAGGTTGTTGTTCTCTGTATAAAGTGATCTAGTTAGTTCACCAGTATACACTAAATGGCTCTATTTGAGTAGACTGAGCCTGGAAAGCTGTGTGTTAAAATGTCAATAATATCCTTTGGGATAACTGTCCCCCCTCCCATTTCTGAATTATGTGTATTATTATTATTTTTTTGTTTTTAAAGGAGACTTAGCTCGGGCAAATGGAAGAAAGGACTAGCAAATATCCCTTGCCTTTTGGGGCTGGTGAAGTTGCCATCAGACAGGCACTCAACTATATACTGACTGCTCTTTGCCTCTCTTCAGCAAAGCAGTGGAGAGCCTAGCTGAAGGGGGTGGTTCCGAAGTCCACCGCATGAAAGAAGATGCGAGAAAGAAGGTGCAGCAGGTAGAAGACCTCCTGACAAAAAGGATACATCTTCTAGAACAAGTAAGTCTGGAGATGCCAAGGATCCTCAACTTACAGAAGGTCAGTCCTGGGGAGGGTGTGGTGGTGTGGCATTCCATTCTCCCTGAAAGAAACATTTCAGCAGAAATGGAGCCACCCTCTTATTATCTTTTGGGTTTGAGCCTCATTGTAGGCACTTTACACATGTAACTTATGCCCCTTACATTGTCGTCTTCCTTCCTGTGAGGACACTGAGGTACAGAGAGAAGTACTGACTAACCTAGGTGGTTGCCGAGGCCCACTGCAGCAATGACCATCTAGCCCTTAGCAAGTCTGGACTTAGACTCCCTGATGCATGACTGTTACCTGCCTAGCTGGCTCTTGTCCTCTCTCTAGCCTCTGTCCAGAACTGAGTGGATACACTTCTCTAGGAGAACCACAGACAACTTCTTGTACTGTTCATTTTGTCATATAGTTACTGTGACTTCAGTTGGGAGTCAAATGCTTCCTGGCTGAATACTACCTCTGAATAGGACAATAGAAAATGTTCTTCTATTTTAAGCTAGTATTAAGTTCCAGAGTTTGAGTAGCTCTTTCCTGAACCGGACCTTGGACAGGAAATGGTTTAGATTTGGGCTCATTATTGTTAACCATTTATATATAACTAATAAGATATCTTGGAGAAGGGCTCCAAGACTAGACATGGAACTCATTGATTTCTCATATGCATTATATATGTAGTTAGAAGGTAATTTTATGCAATATTTTAACATGCCTGTGTTTTGAATACAACCCATCACATGAGGTCAGGTGTGAAAGATTCTACCTTTGACATGTTGATAATCAAAAAGTTTTATATTTTGGGTCTTTCAGAATTTGGATTGGGATGATAAATACCTATCAATAAATTATTATTATGGTGGGTTATGTTTTTGAGACAGGATCTGCTAGGTAGTGAGGCTGGCTTCAGACGTGTAGTTCTCCTGTTCGAATTTCCCAAACACTGTAATTACCAGCAAACATCACTATTTAAGTGTTTTCATTGTTGTAAAAGACACCATGACCACAAAAATTCTTATAAAGGAAAACATTTAGTTGGAGCTGGCTTATAGTTTAGAAGTTTAGTCCATTATCCTCATGGCTGGAAGCGTGGAGGAACAAAAGCAGACATGGTCCCGGAGAGGTAGCTGAGAGTTCTACATCTGGAATGGCAGGCAGCAGGAAGCTAGAGAGACATTGGGGTTGGCTTGCATTTGAAATCTCAATGCTCATCCCCAGTAACACATTTCCTCCAGTGGCACTACACCAAATCCAACAAAGCCACATCTCCTAATAGTGCTTCTCCCTGGTTATCTGGCATTCAAATCTATGAGCCTACAGTGTTGGGGTGTTGTGGAGAGGGCATTCTTACTCAAACTACCACAAGCACCATACCCTTAATTAAGACACTTTGAAAAAGTTGTCACCTTTTCATGTAACACCTTGTTTGTCCCATGGGTACTTCCCAGTGCTTCTGCTCTGTTGTCTGCTGCATTTATCCCATTGGGTGAAGCATTTGCCTGTGTGAATTGAGCACAGAAGCACCAGCTTGTAGCACTGACTGCTTTAACAAGAGTATACACTAAACTATGAGAACACATCATAGGGAGAGGCCCCCTGCTGAGCCTCACATGTGTACTTAGCTGTCTGTCTAAGAAACTCAAGAGCTAATTACATCCATTTTCCCCTTTCTTTCTCCATTTTTGAACATATTGAAACAGCAGACACAGAGTGGCCAGCTCAGCTGCTCAAGGTCACACAGGTGGTAAGTGTCAGGTGATCTGGCTGCATGTTAGGCTACAACATTCTACTGTCTCAGTCCACAACACTTTAGGGTTAGGTCAAGATCAAATATGATATAAGACTGCTTGCGCAGAGCCTGACATTTAGTAGTAACTCAGCAAATAACAGGCATTGTGTTTGCTGTCTAAGAAATATGCAGTGACAGACAAGCCTGCAAGACAAATATTGTTAGTGGAGGTATTAAGAAGGGAAAAGACAGGGAAAGAGAAGCCAGTTTTTAGCTTCTGGAATTATAGGTATTGGCAGTCTCACAGCAGCACTTTGATGGAGTGGTGGGTATCCTGTTTTCTAGAATAAGAACTTGGGGCTCAGAGACTAAAAGACTATCCAAAGTCACACAGTAAGTAAGTAGGAGAACTGCATTTTGAACCTAGTTCCCATTAACCTTTATGTTTTCACTGTGATCTGAGCCAGCATTCTATGTGGGTGGAGAGTACACCTACTATAGGTCACTTATGTGAGCACCATAGACCTTTCCCCCAACAGAGACATGGCCTGAATGATTTAGGAGATAATTTCCATGGTGGCTTCTCTGAGCACTCTGGAAAAGCATAGAGTTTTTCACCACCTAAATCACCTTGGAGATACAGAAATGCATTTTAGAATTGTGTAGTCATTATCTTAACAAGAAGTAGCGATGGGTGGTGGGCTGTGGGATGAATTTGCATGGAGATTAGGGTGACTCTGGGATTTACGCATGTTTAGCATTGAGAAGCAATTTCTCCTTGTTCTCATTGAAGCTGTAAATATTGATCTGATTTTTCAAAACCAAAAGTACAGTTCTTGTAGAGTTGACTCTTTTCCATTGGAAGTGCCCATTACTCTTCCGATACAAGAGGGAAAAATGGTTGGCAAATGTATTTATTACTGATTCTTTCCATGTATAGTACATTCAGGGAGGGGAAATGTGCCGGAGAAAAAGTCATAAATATTTATATTTTAATCCAATTTCCTTTCAAAATGTTCCCAATTGTATTGAAAAATTGCATCAAATGCATTTAATTTAACCGTAGGATGTGAAAGCCGCCCAAGCAGAACTGGAGAAGGCCTATGCAGGGACAGAAACAGAGAAGGCTCTTCGCCTCAGCTTGGAAAGCAAACTCTCAGCGATGAAGATGATGCAGGAGGGGGACCTGGAGATGACTCTGGCTCTGGAAGAGAAGGACAGGTATGGCCCTACCCCCGGGAAACTGTAACATCTCATCGTCTGGTGTGGGAGAGGGTCTTTCCCTTCCCTCACTTCTATTGTTCCTCCCTCGAATGGAATGGGTTACTGGAGTGTATTCCAGCACAGCAAGATAGAAAAGTGGGGATGGGAGTAGGGCCGAAAAAAGGAATGAGATAGTAGTGGGCGAAAGACAGTTCATGCTGTAGAGGGACATTTTGATTCTGAGTCTAGTGTTTAGCTTTGTTGCTTCCTGGTAGTCAAAGGGAAAACCAATCCTGTGAACATGAGATTCACATTACCCATGAGCCAAAACAAGCCATGGATTCGTGAGAAGTCCACTTTTGTTTGACTCTATCAGAGGGAAATTTCTCATGTGGTTCTTTCCACAGGGAGCAGTGATGTCCCCACAATAACTACTAGTGAATTTTGTGTAATCCATTTTCCATCATGTTTTTTAATGCTGGCTAGAGGCCCAAATTAAGCAGTGTTATAGGCAAAGAAGAACATTCAAATACAGAGTTCTTCAATGCATAGTGAATAAAATGTGTGCTGTTGGTTCAGAGAAATGGATGGGCAGTGGGGCTATTAGGCCAACTTTAGTGACCACTGTGAATTGCAGCCAAACTTTAGACAAAAACATGTTAAGAAGTTGAAATTTACTCCTGACAATTTGATTCTCTTATTTGTTGGTCTCTAAGTGGGAGGTAGAGTTAAAATAGTAGAGACACACTGCTAACATGGGTGGCTGTTGATCCCCACCTATTTGGAATTGAATGAGATAGTTCCAGAGTGAACGGTCTCCTCCAGATGATTCTGCCTGTGGTTTCCTTTCCCGATCACTTGGTACCCTGTGGAATAGTGTGCCCCAGAACATTATTTAGTTAATAGCCCAGGTTGGGACAAATTCACTGTGTGTCAGAGGCTGGCCTTGAACTCCTGATGTTCCCTACCACTTCCTCTCAAAGTGCAGAGTTTATGGGAGCCTAGCTGTTTAGGTTCTTGTGGCCAAGTGCCTTTTGCCTTTACTTCTGACTCAATGCCATTGCCATCTTTTAATATTTAGGTCTGCCACTTTGTTTTCATTTTGGGTTTGGGAAATCAGCTGAGCAAACCTTCAGGAATTCTCTGTGAGAGAGGACTGAATCAGTGCTGAGGAAGCCTGTGGTTATGGTCATATGTCAGTACCCCAGTACCCTCTCACTTCAGGTATTCAGAGGACTGTATTTGTTGTGTATACTATAACCTCTTAGGTTCTTTTTTTTTTTTTTTTTTTTTTTTTTTTTCAGTTTTCTTTTGGCTGTTTAGAGGTGTTTTTAAATTTTAATTTTGGAGTATGAGTGTGTAAGTGAGTGAGTGAGCTTGCACATGTGTGCATGGAGGTCAGAAACTGACACTCTTTAGTTTTGATCTGTGAAATTGAAGTGTTATGACTTGGACCTTGGTAAAGTAAATGAGTTATCAGTCTCATAAATCTCTTTGCAATTCAGTGCATTTCTTGACTTTGTTGCCAAGAAGAGGAGGGGTTCCTTTTGCTGGCTTCTTCTCCCCAGGTACCATCCATGAACAGTTAAGAGCTACCACATTAAGAAATTCTACATAAGTCATTGTTGTATCCCATGATCTTTCTCCCTGTTGATTGACAGTGAAGTCCTTCAAAGGCATATAGGCTTGTCTTTCTTAGAGAACTATAGACCTTAGAAGCTAAATTGGGGGAAAGGATCCCAAGGAATAGATTAGACTGAGAGGCCATAGGGAATAAAAAAGAGAATTCTGGTACCTGGGACTGGGAAGAAAGGACACATTCTGAAAGGGTTTGTAAGAAATTATGGGACAGACTCTTGTGGGAGGTCCTGACATATTTAGCAGTTACTTCATTGGTTCTACTGGATGATTTATTCACCAGATATTTCTTGTTTATTTTCTGTTCCACGTAGCAGTGACTAAAGTAGTAAGGGAGACTTCCATTGTCAGAACCAACACTTACCAGTTGGCTAGCTGGAACGGGTGGAAGGCGGGAGCAGAAGGATTAGGACCAGATGGGGTCAACACTGTATTACCATTAATACTTACAAATTCAGTGTAAAGGGTCCCAGACAAGCTTCTTCATGTTAAGTAGGTGTTCCCTTAATGGAGGTGCTTATGGATGTCTGAAACCTGACTGTATCCAGCCTTTCACTTACTATGTACCTCCACCTGCCAGTACTCACATGTCCGTGTTAAAGTTTAATTGATAAATTAGAGTAAGAGATTAGAGAAACAGAGTTGTGGCAGTAGGCAGTAGTCTGCAGTAAAAGTATGTGGACATTGTCTTTTTTGTAAAAAAAAAAAAAAAAAAAAAAAATGACCTGGGCTCATGTGTGAAGTGATATGTGATGACATGAAGTAGGATAAATGACATAGGCAGGCATGATGCTGTGTGAGGATTACTTAATTATAAGCATCATGAAACAGCATCTGACAGTTGTGACTACTAATTGATTAATAGGGAGGTAGTATCTACAGTGTGGATATGCTGGACAGGTCACTGGGCCTAGTGGAAGAATTGGGACTTACCTGAAGGGCATGAAAGAGTCCATTGAAGAGTTCAGGGGGAATAACTTGGGGAAACTACATGATTAGATTTAAATTTATTGGAGTTCTTTGTTTGCCTTGGAGATGGTCACTGGGCTCTCATGCTGATGTAGACATTCAGATAGATGATAACAACCAAGACTGAAAGTCTGGAATGCGATGGGGGTAAATAGGTGGTGATAGAAAGTGAAGTGGACACAGTGGGCTTAAAGGGCTTTGGTAGCAAAGGGAAAATACTGAAGTGATATCCCCTCTTTGGGTTTCAAGAACGAGTGGCTGAAGGGTGGTGGTCCAATTTACTCAGATTGGAGGAAGATGAGCAACAAGGAGCTGTTTTGAGATAGGAATGGGAGGGTGATGCTTCCAGTTAGGACAGGAGTTGTGGGATCTGTGAGTATCTATGAGGGGAGTGTGGATGAGGAGGGGTGGGGGGGGGAGGGGAGGTGTGTGGGAGGGGAAGTGGCTTTCTAGATTAAGGCTGGAATTGGAAGAAATGAAGATTCATGCCTAAAGAAATGACTTGGTTATGCACTTGGAACCACAGAGACAAATGTGGTTCTGCTTATGTAGAATGGACACAATAAACATTTTGATAGAGATGAATTTAGGGCTCTGTGCTTGGGCATGAGAGTCTTCTAGGGGGAATCCTCGAAGTTGCCTATGATGAGCATGGGCATCTGCAAAGTAACAGAGTATGTATACTTTGTGTACAAAGCCTGCACATGTAGACCATCAGGGTGTGCTGCTTAAGTTTGGATTCTTGCTTGTTTGAGGAGAGAACATTTGGGAGATTGTGTAGACTGGTCCAGGTGGTGACTTCTCTCCATGAATATGGATGGTCAGGTTGGAGTCTTGAAGGCTGTATTTTCCTGGCATTTGCACAGGCTTTTCTGGCTAGACAGGTATAGAAGCTTGGCTTGTCAGGTATGCAAATGTGTTAGTTTGAGAGATTGAGAGATAAAGATATCCCAGTTAAACTCCCAGAGATCAGCAACCAGTTGTCATCCCAATTTTTCCCTAAGGATATGAACATTTGGTAAATTTCTAGGGATTAAATTTCATTGAGCCCATATTTAAGTCAAGGTCGGGTTAGCCCAGCACAGCAGCAGGGGTCATCAGTTATATCCGGGTGGCATGGATCTGGATCAGCCACACAGAGGAATCTGCTGTTAGGCATGGCAAGCTATTAAATCTTGGGGTGTAAATGGATGTTTCCTACCCTGAATGCTCAGTCCCAAATAACCAACTTAGAGGCTGAATATGAAGTATAAATGTCCGGCTGGTACCTCTGGCTTATTACTAGCTAACTCTTACACTTAACCCATATTTCTATTTATGCTTTGCCACATGGCTCATGGCTTGTTACCTCATTTTTTTTTTTTTTTTTTTTTTTTTTTTTTTTTTAACATCTTCTGCTTGCTTGTCAGCTGACTGGCTTCTCTGACTCCACCCTTCCTCCTCCCCTTATTCTCTCTGTGGCAGGCTAACTCACCCATCTCTCCTTGCCCTGCAGTTGGCCAATACTGTTTTTAAAATTAACAATGAGCTTAATCCAGTCTGGCCCTTTCTTGCATGGGTACTCCCAGGGTCTTCCTGGGCTCCCACCACCTTCATTCTGGGTTTTGAGCTATTCTGCATCTGAAGGTGATCATGTTGGGGACCTCTACAGGTTGGTCATAATAGCCAATACATAGGTTTTCTTCAAACTAAATAGTATTTTTAAAAGTGTGAGTTGCTGCATTGGAAACATTGAATTCCACAGAAAAGTGAATTCTCTCTGCTTGAGCCCAAAGATGTAACACTTGCGGGTGTCTTATTGGCTAAAGACTGCTGCTCCATATGATGGGCTGACCCTTCTGTGACCTGCAGGTGTCCTGGTTTTGGCCCCCACCTTTTATTTTAAATCTACATTTGGTGAGTTTTAGCACTCCATTTGCTTATTGATTATATCAGAGCTGAACCCCTAGAGGGCAGCATTGCTCCTCCCTCCGGGTTTCTGTGCTATCATGTAGGTCTCATTTGTGCTCTGATGCCAGTGCATACTGCTAGGTGTTTCTGCTGCCCATGTCTCCCTCCTCGACTTTGACAAGGAAGCCAGGTGCTTCATGAGGGTAGCTCTGCCAGACCTCTAGGCCTCTCCTTGTATAAAACTAGGTTGCTTTCTAGGCTTAGCTACAAAAGGCTCTTTGGAAAGTCCTCCAATGAAATAATTGTTTAATATTTAAAAGGTAGTATGTATGGGGCTGGTTTGGAGACATGGCTTAGTGGATAAAATGCTTGCTATTCGAGTATGAGGACCTGAGTTCTGATTTCCAGCATTCATGTAAAAGCTGGGTGTGATAATATGCATCGCAGTGTGGCAAGGCAGAGAGACAAATGGATCCCTGTTGGTTGCTGGTCAGTCAGCCCAGCTACGCCAAAATAAGGTGGAAACACAATTGAGGAAAACATTTGGACATCAAGCTCCAAGTAGAATGACTTAGCTTGGTCACAGAACAGTTGACTTTGGTTCTGAAGAGGGAAATGTTCACATCTAGAAGGAGTTATGATTGTAAGTGGCAAAGCTTCTCTCAGATTCAAGAGATGGAAGGTATAGATGAAGGAACTTTGGTGTTTATCAGGCAGGATAGGAAGGGGTTTGGACATAAGGTATTGACAGCACATGCAAAGGCATAGAGGGGCACAGAATAGCTTTGGAGTGAGCTCCCTGTGAGCTGCTGAGGACTGATCAGGATCAAGATTAAGCTGGGGTTGTTACAACTTAAGAGCAAGGTGCCAGGATACCTTATCCCGAAGTCTCGCTGTTAGCTTGAGACGTGGTGTGTTTTAAGCATTGTCTGCAAGCTGTGGAAAGATAGCCCTGCTTTTAAATCCACACCCACCCAGACAGCTTTCGATTGGTTATTTGCTTAGGCTTCATGAACAGATTTCTTTTGGAGAAGGGATTTCTTACTCAAAACTTAGCAATCTGTTGCTATTGGTGAGGGCTGCTGAAGGTCTCTGAGCAGGTGCATGGCTTGACCAGACCCGGTGTAGCTTAGAGCTAAATCCCTGGGCAGGCTAGAGACAAGAGGACTCATTAATGTCACATAAATTCTGGCCCTTGCTCTCTGACCTGCAGAGTGTGATTCTGTTTACGCGTATTCATTGGACACAGCTACTTTGAAGATGTCTGGCCCCGCTTCCTACCTCCTCCTGCTCCACTGAGCTAAGAGAGCAGCTCAGAATTAATATTTAAATTTTGTTCTCTTTTAGACTGATTGAGGAGTTGAAGCTGTCTTTGAAGAGCAAAGAAGCTTTAATTCAGTGCCTTAAAGAGGAGAAATCTCAGATGGCATCTCCTGACGAGAATGTGTCATCTGGAGAACTCCGAGGACTTTCTGCCACTCCGATGGAAGAAAAGGAGAGAGACGCTGAGGTGAGGCGACAGGGCACAGCAGGAGGGGGAGCATATCAGACTGTTCCATGTGAAGTGGGGCGCGCTTTAGTCTGCATGGTTTGCACAGTAACTTCCACATCCCAGTTCTCTGTCAGCTGAGCAATCTGCAGGAGCAGCCTTTGTTAGGGCCTGCCTTTGTTCATGAGTCTCATACTTCTGCATCTGTATTTTACTATGTGTTAATTTGCTGTCACCTTGGGGCTTCCTTTTCATCCTTAGGGTTTTCTTAGTGTAAAATTGTGGTACATTGTTCATGTCCATTTTTCCTTTGTTGTTAGAGGCAGGCTTGTAGGCCATATTTGGTGTGAAACACCAGAGGCTGTGGGGAAAGGGGACTAACTGGTTCTGGGTCTGGCAGTGTTCAGCATACTACCTTGTTCTGGCCTCCCAACCTTTTGGCCAAGTAGAGGTTGTGATCCCCTGGCTGAGTTTAGGAGCAGCCTCAGAATAGTTGTATTTTTCTAGGCTTTAAGAAGTGGGTTGTCAATAGTTGGGCTCAAATCTCCTGGACTCTGCTTCAATCTTGTGACCTCCAGGGCAGACTATGTTGACCTTCCATTCTCCTTAGGTGAAGAATGTGTGCTAAGTGGTCTGTTCACATCAGGGTATGTTCTGGAAGCTCAAGAAAGTTCACAGTTTCTTTATGAAGCATGCTCCCTGTCCTTGTGACAGTAGCAGATTCTTTAGCCTTATCAGTTTGTTTTCATGGGGTTGTTTGCCACTGCCCCTCCTAGGCTTTGTTCTCTGTTAGGCCCTTTTTCTCCCGAAGCACCTGCTTACTCTGTGGGACTGATAATCAAACTGAGCTGCTATCTTCACACTTGTCCTCACTCAAACCAAGTCAGGCTATAAAGAAGGGCATACTTGTGTTAATGAGGTCTGCAGCAGTGGCTGGAGTAAGGAAATGAGGTGCTCGTTCAGATGGCTGTGGGAAAGCCTTTGCATGGTCCTCCTCTTTCTGCTCACATACAAATGTCTTTCCTAGGCTGCACAAAGGGAGTGGCAGAAGAAGAGAAGTCACTTTGAAGAGAAGATCCAGGTATGTTGATTCATTTTAAGACTGTATGGAAGACTTATCTTCTTGCTCATCATTTTATTCTGAGTGCAACAGATAATTCTTTGTGACAGCAGGTGCTGTTTATCTAAGGCTGCTGAGTGCTAGTTACAAATAAAACACAGTAAAGGGAGTTCCTCAGTCCTTGCCATAACTCCGATGTAGACATTCCCATGTTGTATATGTGGTTGCTGAGGCTCAGAGAGGTGAAGTCACTTGCTCATGATCATATAGCTGGGAGGGGGGAATTTGCCTATTTGATTCAGTCACCTGGGCTCCAAGGGCCCTTAGTCACAACAGCTGGAATTTGTACAGTGCCTGCCAGCTTAGAAAGTACTTTCACATCTATTATCTCATCTGATCCTCACAACAGCCCAGAAGGGAGGCAGCAGTGATTATCTTAAGATGTGAACTCAGACTATAAATGTAAGGCTCAGTCCCCATCAAACCAAACTCTCTGCTAGATTTTGTAGCATTAAGGAATGAAATTAATGATCTGTTATTCCCTCCAAATAACCTAGTGCAATTTCGAAGACTGGGATGTGACTGTATTCAGATTTTAGGAGGCACTGGAGTCCTTCCCATAGGAATAGCTGTCAACTTCTCAGGCGATCAGATCCCTTTCCCTTCACCCAGCCCTGTTGCTGTGAGCAGTAACACAGTAACTGGGAGCTGATGCCACGTCGTTCGGCTCGACTAGGAAACATTAATCACAGGTTGACAGGAATAAGATAGAATAACTGCATTTGAGTGTGCTCTTAAAGATATATTTACAGTGCATTTTGGTTGGAACACATCAACTTCGTGAATCTTTTTCTAATCTAATTTAGGCTCTTCAGGAGGACCTGAGAGAGAAGGAAAGAGAAATTGCTACAGAGAAGAAAAATAGCTTAAAGAGGGATAAAGCCATTCAGGGCCTAACCATGGCATTAAAATCAAAGGAAAAAGAGGTATGTCTGAGGAGTGAAGTGGGATTTTTCTTTATTAGTTTCTGTGGCTTGCCTGTCCTCTCCTGAAGTTTTAGCTTTAGACAGAAAGTTTTAAGTGCTAGGATAATACAGAAAGTGGTTCCTCTAGTCAGTTGGACTTGTCAGTAACTAAATATGAATAAAACATTTACTTTTAAGGTTTCTAGAAAGCCACATTGAAAGAGGTGCAAAGATGTAAGTTAATTTTAATATTGTCTGAACATAATAATTTCAACATGTAATCAGACGTGAGACAAGCAATGGTGAGCTTCTTGCCTCAGCACCAAGTGTTGTGAAATATTAATTTAAGATGTGTTACATTTGTTTATGCTGTCGAATATTTGTTTAATGATGCAAAGGTGTGTTACATTTGTTTGATTAAACAAAACTAACCTAGGGTCAGGAGGTTGAGTCAGCAACTAGCTGACAGCAAGTGGCAGGGAGGAGCCATGTGGAGCATGTTCCAAGTACCCAAGGACCTCTCACTAGCATACACTTCTTAGAGGCTCACATCCTAACATTGCCAAATGGAGGAGCAAGTTTCTGATACATTGACACTTGGAAGACATACTCTGAATTTATGTAGACCATGGCAAAAGGTGTGGGGATTGAGTTTCAGAGAGGGTAAGCTGCCCAGTTAACAAATGGCAAAACCAGAAATCCCACTGAGAGCTTGTATTAAGTACTATAGTTCAGGGGAAAGTATGTGGGCTGTGAAGGAAGGAGATGCCAGCTATGTGTGTGGTTGCCATTTGTTGTTTTCCTAGGTTGAAGAACTTAACTCTGAAATCAAAGAGCTCACTGCTGCCTTCACCAAAGCCAGAGAGGCTCCCTTAAAAACACAGGCCACAAAATTCCAGGTAAGAGTTTTCATTAGTATAAGTGGCTGTTCCAGGTTCTCATTCTAAGAGAGGCCTGGACTTTGCAACTGAAGAGAAACTAGGAGATTTTAATAAGGGGTACCATCTGTGGTGGTAGGATTAGTTTAGTCTAATTAATGGTTGGTTCATCCTTTACCAGTTTTTGGAGCTTCTCTGTCCACTCAATGTGGTGTGGTGCTGGTGATGATGATGATACCCACTCTTGTTATGAGTAGGTTTTCCCTGCTGGTCTCGTCCCACAGCCGCGCCAGCCCCAAATAACACACGGAGACGCTGTATTTGAGATAATTCTGTTGGCCTGCTACTAGCATTTCTTATTGGCTAACTCTGTCTTAAATATTAAATAATTTCTATTAACCTAAATATTTCCATGTGGTCTCATCTTACCAGAGAGAGAGCCTGGCATTCTACTCTCTCCATCCTCCTTGTTGAATCTCCTCCTTACTCTTCCTCTCTCCTCCTTGTCTCCTAGTCCCACCTATCTTGCGTTCCTATTGGCCAACAGTGCTTTATTCATTAACCAATACGAGAAACATATTTACAGAATGACGTATACCATCACACTGTCATAGTTAGAAATGCTGACCTTACCTTTAGACAGCATACCTCATTTAATTTTCAGAGTTCTTGATGAAAATGGTTATCAATCTGTTAGATTCCTCCTTGTATCCTAGTTTCTCTGGTGGTGTGAATTATAGGCTGGTGATCCTTTGCTCTATGTCTAAAATCCATATATGAGTGAGTACATACCATGTTCCTCTTTTTATGACTGGGTTACTTCATTCAGGATGGCTTCTTCAAGTTCTATCCATTTGCCTGCAAATTTCAAGATTTCATTTTTTTTTTTTTTTTTTTTTTTTTTTCCACAGAGTAGTATACCATTGTGTAAAAGTGCCACATCTTCTTTATCTGTTCTTCAGTTGAGGGGCATCTAAGTTACTTCCAGGTTCTTGCTATTACAAATATAGTTGAATAGATGTCTTTGTTGCATGGATGTGGATCATTTGGGTATATGTGTAAGAGGGGGATTGCTGGGTCCTGTTTTCCCATTTTCCTGAGGAACTGCCATACTAATCTCCAAAATGGCTGTACAAGTTTGCACTCCCATCAGAAGTGGAGGAGTGTTCTTCTTTCCCTACATCCTTTCTAGTATAAGTTGTCATTGGTGTTTCTAATTTTAACCATTCCAGCAGGATTAAGATGGTATCTTAGAGTTGTTTTGATTTGGAGGAGCTAATGGGACCCCAGACTGATAACTGGGAATCCAGCATTGAACCTACTCAGACCCCCTGAACATGGGTCTTAGTTAGAAGGCCTGGGCAGTCTAAGGGACCTCTAACAGTGGAACCAGGATGTATCCCTGGTGCACAAAAGAACTTTGAGAGCACATTCCCCATGGATGGTTACTCCCTTAACCTAAAGGCAGGAGAGAGGGCCTAGTCCCTTCTCCAAATGACTTGACAGATTTTGTTGACCCCTCCTGGAAGGCATAACCCTTCCTGTGCAGTAGGGGTGGGGTGGGAAGGTGGTCAGTGGGCATGGGAGGGTGGGAGAGAGGGAGTGAGAGGGAACTGGGCTCGATATGTAAAATAAGAAAAATAAATATAAAAAAACAAAATAATAACAACAAAAAAGAAAATGATTATCAAACCCTTGTATTTGTGCGAGTTTTGAGGCTTATTAAGGGTGTGCAGTTTATTGTCACACAGCTAACAGATGGTAGATTCAGGATTTAAATTTAGCAGTTATAACTAATAGCAGCCATTTGTTGAATATGTACTTTGTACCTAGCCCTGGTACATGCTGTCCATAGATTTTCTCCTTTATCTGTGTAACAGTTGAAGTAGACACTGTTTATGTTTTTGTTTCATTGGTAAGGAACTCCAGGGTTAGAAATGAGACCTGCTTATGGTTACCACTCTGGTGAGTGACAGGTGACAGAGCCAGAATTTGACCCCAGGGTTCCTGGCACTCCATAGCTTGGTGTCCTTTGCTTCTTCTTCTGGCTTCCTCCTCCTTCCTGCTCCTTTCTGAATTTGTAGTATAGACTTAGATGCCTTTGATGTCTTTGTGCCTACAATATTGAGTTTCAAGGATGCCTCCCACCCATATTCATGACAGCCCCTCTCTTTTTCAAATTTTGGTTTTATGTTTTTAATTATTTCAGAACAATTTATATAAGCCTATTGCTTGATGTGGAATCAATGAGGTTCCATTATCAGGTGAAGTCCATACTTGCTTATGCTCTCCTCTCACCCATGCAGCATGGGTGTTTCTTGTGGTAGGGTGGAAGTTCAAGCTGATTTAGAACTTTCCAACATTCATACCTCCTGCCTTATCTGTTGCAGAGCTTTGGCTCACAATGAGAATAATTGTTGTAATTTAGTTTAAATCATGGGTGCTAGCAGCATAGACAGATCCCTGATTTTGGGGTCTCAGACTTGCTTCTTCTACTGTTTTGACAGTAGATGATGAAATTGAGCTGTACTTACATTTTACACCATTTCCTCCTTGCTTAGAAAATAGTAAGCTTTAAAGGCCAAATTCTTTGGAAAACCATCATCAATATTTTCTGTTGCTTAAAGAAAAAAATAAAAAGAAAGAAAGAAAGAAAGAATGAATGAAATGCTATCAGTTGATAGCCAGAGTCCTTATGAGCCCTAGTATAGTTTACTTTTCTTTGTTTTATTGGGGCTTGCAGGAAAGAAAGAAACCTTGTAAACTGGACCTTCACTCAGACATACTACATACATTTATTAATTTAAGGTCCTTTTTCCTGGTCAAAATGCAATACAAATGGAGTGAAGTATTGCAGTAGCAGCATGGGCTGGGTCCTTGTCTGCAGTCTAGAGGGATCAGGTGTGTTGTACATCAGCTTGATAGGTCCTTGATGCTTCATCCAAATAGGTATGCTTTCGACCTTTTAAGAGTATGTGGAGGCAGGACTAGCATGGCAGTTTGTTTCCAAAGTGTTTTTGTTGCCTAACTCCGATTGTGCTGCATGTTTATACCAGTGCTTCAGTTGAGGTGTATGTAGTTTCAATGTTGTACAAACTTTTAAGTGTGTTTATTTCATGAAAAAGGACATATTGGGTTTTGGTGTGATTTCAACTAATTTTAGCCTGAGTTGAAAAGCCATTGTGGGAGCTGGAGAGATAGCTCAGTGGTTATGAATATCTGCAGCTCTTCCAGAGGACGTGGGTTCTGTTCTCAGCACCCAGATAGGACAGCTTACAACTCTCTGTAACTCCAGCTCTCAGGAGATTTGAAACCCTCTTCTGGTCTCTGTGGATAACTTGACCCATGTGACCCCTCCCAGACATACACAATACACATAATTAAAAACAAAATTCATCTTAGGAAAAAGACAAAGGTCAGGGTTGATTTGACATCAGACTTGACAGTGAAGCAGCAGCAGGTGATATTTAAATTCTTGTGATATTTAAATTCTTAGAGTGTCTGCCAAGGTACAGATGCACAGACTCAACTTCAGATCACAGGTGTGACTGTGTACAGGTTACAGTGTGGGTTGGCTGGTGCTCCTCATGCCCATTCAAAGTTATTTCTGGATAGGAAGTGGCATTCTCCTCCAGGTGTAAAAGTAAAAACACTTACTGAGGGATACTTAAAGTTGTAGAAAGAATGTTAATAGAAATTACCTGTAGTTGGACTTTTTTCGTTGGGACCGTTGGCTTCCCATTATTGACACTGGCTTATTATGAAAGCTCGACTGATAGCTTAGGCTTGTTTCTAACTAGCTCTTATATCTTAAATTAACCCATTTCTATTAAATTTACTTTCTGCCTGTAGCTTTGTTACCTCATCTCCTTTGTGCCCATCCTGCTTGCTCTACATCCTTGGTGTCTCTGCCTCCTTCTTCCCAGGGTCTTCTCTGCACGGAAATTCAGCCTATCGGCCATTTAGCTTTTATTAAACCAAACAGAGTGAATACAAAAAGATTATTCTACAATAGTTATCAGGAAAGTCACATCTAAATATGTTCTCTGTTGGTAGTGTTACACACATATGCGAGCGCAGGTGCGAGCGTGCACACATACGCAAACACATACCACTTCAAAAAGTTAAAGGAAATCTTATGTGTATGTGCACATATGTATGTGGTTATTCATGGAGGACAGAAATCAACACTCTCTGTCTCTCTCCATCTTATTTTTTTGAAGCATGCTCTCTCGTTGAACTTGGAGCTTATCTTTTGGCTAGACTGGTCATAAACCCTAGGGATCTTCTGCCTCTACTGTCTTACTACTGGGCTTACAGATGGGCAAAGCTGTTTCTGGCTTTTATGTGGGTGCTGGGATTGATCTCTGGTCCTTGTGCCTGCAGGGAAAGCACTTTACTAATAATGGAAACACCTCTCCAGCCTCTTTCTCTATTTTTTAAAAAAGAGATTGGGGTTCCTATATGTTACCTAGTGTCTTAGGGTAAGTATTGCTGTGAAGAGACATCATGATCCTGGCAACTCTTATAAAGGAAAATATTTAATTGGGGCTGGGTTATAAGTTCAGAGGTTTAATCTCTTATTATCATGTCAGAAAGCATGGTGGCGTGCAGGCAGAAATGGTCCTAGGCAAGGGGCTAAGCGTTCTATATTGAGATTGGCAGACAGCAGGAAGAAAAGGCCTTATTGGGCCTGGGTTGACTATCTGAGACCTAACACCTGCCCCCAGTGAAAAACTTCCTCCAGCAAGGCCACACCTATTTCAACAAGGCTGTACCTCCTAGTAGTGCCATTATCTATGAGCCTATGGGTATCATCTTTATTCAAACTGCCACATCCAGACTGGTCCCAAACTCCTAGGCTCAAGTGATCTTTCTGTCTTGAACCCTGGAGTATCTGGAACTATAGATGTACTGGGCCATTATATATTTCTTGTTCTATAATTCTTTCTTTAACATTCTTGCCATGGTAGCATAGTGAAGATCTACCCAGACTTTAATTTTCATATTGAAATAATTGTCAACTCACATATATGTTTCAGCATCTCTTTATTCTATCTTCCAAGGAAACATCTCTCAAGACCACATAGTTAAAACTGGTCCAGAGCATTTGAATTCTTTTGTAGTGAGCAAGAATAATTTGCCTAATTTTACATTTGGCCTTTAGTTTCTGGCCATATAATTGGACCAAATATTTGCCACTTGGGCATCATTGAGGAAAAGGTAAAGAGCCCTCTAGGGAAGTTTTTCAAGGGGCCATTTAAGGGCAATTTAACATGGAAAGTGTTTTTAAGAAATAAGTTGAATGTGTGCATTTGAGTTCTTTGAGGTTGGATATTTAAGGAGGCTTTGCCATCATTATTCATGCAATAATCCTACAGAACTTCCACCACTTGTTAAGTGTGAACAATAACTATGTTTAACAATCCAATAACTGATGCCCATCTCTAGCTTCCTCTTCAAATTTAGTCTTCTTGTTTTTATTCTTGCCAGTTTATTGGTGTTAATTAGAGTCTTTACTGGTGAGGGCATGTGGTGCTGTGCCAGAGAAGAACACAGGCTGGGAATCATTTGAATTCCAGATTTAATTATGGCCAGTCTGATGATAGACTAGTCACTTAGCAGCCCTAAGCTTCATTTACTTATGGGCATGGTTTAACTCCTTGTTGATGAACATTTTGCAGTCATTGTTGGCCTTTGCTTTTTGATTTTATTTAAGCACCACCATCCACATTAATACCAATTTGGTTTCATAGTCCAGGCTTCTGCCTTTTTTTTAATTTAATTTCAAAAGAAACAAAACCAGAAGATTCCAAAAAATTAGAACAGATGGTGTTCATTCTCACTTTATGTTCCTGTGTTCTGAACTTCACTTAGAACATGGGGCCAGATGCCCGGCTATAGGGAGCCTGGAAGGGCACAGCTCCTAAGACCCTAGGTTAACTGTGGGTTGACCACCTGAATAACTAAGAGTTGACTAGTGACAGGCAGAGATAGATGGATTTCCTGAATCTGGGGCTTTAACTTCATTCAGAATTGTGACTTTGACAACACAAGTATCATTATTTTTGGATTTTTAATCTTGAGCCTTGGTCCAATTGGAAGGAAACCCTTACTAAAAAGTTTACTTTTGGCCTATGTGATGGTACATGCCTTTTACCCACTTGGGGTACAGCACTTGGGAGGCACAGACAGATGGATCTGTTTTAATTAGAGGCTAGTCTGGTCTACATATCTTGTTCCAGGCCAGCTAGAGTTAGATGGTGAGATCCACTTTCAAAGAGAAAAGAACCAATTTATTTTCTTCCTATTGAAAATATTACATAGATGTCACCAAACCAAGTTTTTAAGGAAACAAAAAGAATTAAAAGTGTGTAATCTGAGCACGACTCAAACCATGTCACAACTACATAAACTTTCTTCTGTGCTGTAGACTTTTATTTTTAAGTAATGTATATGTTTGGCTTCTGTTTTCACTTAACACTAGCTTAGGTGTATCCCTATGTTTTGATATATGCCATACTTTCTGCATTTTTGGCTGATGCACATTAAGTTGCTTGTTACCAATTACTGTTGGAATTCTGTGATAAGTAACTAATATGGGCTCCCCTCTTGATTCTTCTCAGAGTAGATCTCAGGAAGAAATCACTTGTTTATATCTGCAAAGACATATGGTCAGTCTATAACGTCAGTCCATAGAGGGCAGTGTTAATTTGCATTCCCCTACATATTTCCAGGCTTCTAGTTGCTTAGCTGGTTCAAAACAAGCTGAATATCACCAAATAATCTATTTAAACCATCTTACTTTGTAACTTAGAACTTACTTTACAGTTCATTCTTTTTATTTTTGTTGGTGGTTTAGAACATGTTGTTCATTTTTGTATATTATGCAAATATGTTCTCAGGTGAATTGTTAATGAAATAAAGATAGCCTTGACTCATTTAGCCCTTGAACTTGTATGATGTTAGAGTCTTTTCAGAGTAGACTTTGACTGTCATGCTAACCTATGACTCCTTTTTTTGCAGATATCTCTGGGTGTGAGCCATAGTAACAAAAGAGATCATTGCTGGTGCTAGGGCCCATGACTGCTTGTCATTTTGTCTTTGTTTTCTATTCTTATTGATTGGCTGATTGTGATATTGGGGTTTAAACCCAGGTCTTCACATATGCTAGGCAAGGGCTTTCCAACTGAACTACACTCCAAACCCCATTTTCTACCCCTTTAAAGTTACTGAATTAAATTGCTTTTTAAACCATTATAAAAGTAACATGCTCAGTTACCTTAAAACATTAGAAAATACAGAGAAACAGAAAAGTCAAATATATTCCCACTGCATTGAAGTCAGTTTTGTTAACATTTTGTCTTTTTTCTTCTTCTTTTTTTAACTGCACTGTGGGCTTTTGTCCCTTCCCAACAAAACTGCAACCTAAGCTTTGTCCTCTATCTTCCCAAGATGCAACTCCTTGGCCTTTGCATACTGAATGCTGCCTGTTAGGATTTTTGATTTTTTTTTTTTTAATTATTATTTTCTTCTTCTTCCTTACTGGGAAGGCAAAAACAGGAGGTCTTCTAGGTATGTCAAAGCCAACTCCCTTTGCCTTTCTCTCTTCCAGGGGTCTGAGGACTTCAATGCTGCCCTGGAGGAAAAGGAAGTCCTCCTGTCCAAGCTGCACTCAGAAAACCTCACACAGAGCACAGAGAACCACAGACTGCTCAGGAATGTTAAAAAGGTCACCCAGGAGTTGAGTGACCTGAAGAAGGAGAAGCTGAAACTAGAGAAGGACCTGGAGGAAGCCCACCAAGAGGGGAACAAACGAGCCCAAACCATCCATGTGAGTGCCTCCCGCCCTCCTGACATGATGGGTAGTGCGTCAGGCCTGGGTCCTGTGATGGTTTCTGCTCATAGGGAGGTGGATGCTATGTAGAAAACTGAAGAAAATCTGAGGGTTTTCCTTATCTCCTTAGTGGGAATGGCCCAGCTTGACACTCTTAGTCACCCCGTCTCACCATTTCTGACAAGTTGGCAATAGTTTGTGTCCTGCTCTTTCATTCATTGCTCACTCCTGTGGTATGCCGGGGGGGGGGGGGGTTGTGAATGTTCTTTAAAGAAATGGTTTTGGTGTCTGTGCATTTAGTCATTTGGTTGCTCCTCAGATGACTAAGCAGACCCTTATTTCGAAGCAGAGTATTTTTATCTTGTAACCTATGCTTCGACAATGCTCCTGTGTGTGAGTATTTATTCATGGGCTGTTTCTGACAGAGGTTTAATTACTGAGTCAAACCTACCACCAACATTTAAAGACTACTTTATAGATATCAAACTGTTCTCCAGACAAATTGTGCTGGCTCAGACCTGTTTTAAGACTGTGTTCTATTCAACGTTGGGTATTAGCATTTAATAATTCTTCCTAAATTTGTTACACTATTAAATTTCAATTGTATCTAAACTTAAGTACTAAGCATGCTTTAATGGAGTCCCTCCTGAGAGTCACGTCTACATGCACAGCCTTGGTGTATCAGGGAGGACTGAGTCTGAGCTCGAGTGGTCATGGATTCTGTGTTAAGAGTCACCTCCCCAGAGTCTGGAGTGGGCAGTTATCATAGGTAGAATTGGAGGAGAACCCAGAGGTACCACTGGCTCTTAGCAGGGTTGCCAGGATTCACAGTTGCCATAGTCGTGTCAACTCTGAGGTGTGGTGATATATTATTTATGATTTAATAAAGCCACTGGAGACCAAAATACAAAGCTAGCCACAGCCATAGATGGTGTATGCCTTTAATTCTAGGACTCAGGAGACAGAGGCAGAAGAATCTCTTGTTAGTTCAAGACCACACTGAGCTACACAAAATTGATCCAGTATAAAGGAGAAACAAGTCATACAAAAGTGACTTCAGCACTTAGGATCACACACCTTTAATCCCAGTGCTAAGGAAGTGGAGACAGTAGTGGAATGGCTGGGTGAGAGAGGAATATAAGGCAGGAGGAGACAGGAATTTAAGGGATTTCAGTCTGAGACTTGGTGGAGAGCAGTGCAGTCTGCATTGCACTTTGAGGATTGGTGAAGACAGGATCATCCATTTTAGGCTGAGATAGAGCTAAGAGCTAGTGCTGGCTGCTTTGCTTTTCTGATCTTCGGCATGAACTGCGTAACTGAGGAGTGAAGTGAAGTATAAATGTTTGCATGCTCTAATCTAATAAGTATTTCAACAAATATTGGAGGTTTAGAGAAGAAACCATCAGCTACACTTCCGCCACCTGAGTGAAGCAAACTGTTTTCTGGTCAGCGTTACTTTCAGCCTTGGTGTACCTGGCTTCTCTATCCAGTCACAGACTGCTCACTCACTGTTTTAGATCATTCACATTGCCTAGGCATCTTCCACATTGTGTAAGACACAGAATGGCTCCAGTGAATGGCACATGCTCTTACTGATAGCTTTCACATGAGAACTTAATAATTTCCTTCTTGGGTTTGAACATTTTAGCTATTTAAATGATGCACAGTTAACATCTTTGAGCATGTGGACATTTTCTCATGAAACTCCTAGGATAAACTTTGAGGAGTGAGGGTATTAGATCACACAGTGCAAACATTTTATGTTGTTTAATTGTGCTTGCAGGTTGTCATGAGTCCAGAGGGGTATCCCATTGTGTGCTGCAATAGGCCAGCTTGTTGTAGTCTGATAGAAGACCTGTTTCCTATATTTTGGATGCTGATGAAATGCCTGGTGTGATTTCTGAAGCCTTTGCTTTCCTGTTGATTGCAGAAAAGGAGGACCCATAATATACTGCCCCTGCTGTCTTCCTATCAGTCCAGTCAGATGATGTTCTGAGGTTCCCAGCTTGTGTCATACTGTTTCCGTTGGCAGGAGAGGGTACCTCTCTCTCTCTCTCTCTCTCTCTCTCTCTCTCTCTCTCTCTCTCTCTCTCTCTCTGTGTGTGTGTGTGTGTGTGTACACATGTGTGCCATCATTGGCAGCCTCCTTAAGAATCACATGTTTATGGGGAGGGTGAACAGGTGCTCAAAGAAAACAGTGTTGTTGTAAGGCTCTGGGAAGAACAAGACAACAGCTGTATTCCTTGCTTAACTTGACTGAACTGGCTTGGAACACACAGCTTCCTGGCATCTCATTGTAACTGCTTTTGTGCCTTGTTCTGTACATGTTCCTGACACGGTGGTCTGGGCAGTTTCATTATTTCATATTTCACCCCATTGCCATCTCTGCTTAACTCTTGGTTATAGTCTAGGGGTCTAGCTGTGTTCCTCTCAAGAGGGTGTTTTACACTGGATCATGGAGGTACAGTCTGGGGAAACATGCTGAGGTAGTTATTTTGCTTCATGGTGCTAGGATAAAAACACAGGTGGAAACATAGCCATGCATATCTTATCAGCTTGTTGCTGTTAAGTAGGTTCTTTATTTATTCAGAATGCCTCCCACTCGACAGCTGCTGCTGGCATTGCTTTGTATTGATAGAGACAAAAACCCTAGACCTCTCAGTGGCTTCTATTTCTGCCCTCAAAAAGAAGAGAAATCTACTCATAATCCGGCATCATTGAGTACCTTGTATAAGCCCTGTCTACTAGACATGGACATATTTCCAGAGCAGAGGTAGAAACATCCCACCACAGGAATACAGAGGAAGGGAGTGGCTTGCAGATTGTAGAAGGAAAATGTATCATCTAGTTTATGTGGTGAGAATAGGCAAGCTCTGTGCCAACTGAGCCTCATCCCTAACCTCATGGTATTTGCATTTTTGAGTCTGGCTTACTTTGCTTAACATAACGCTTTTTTCTTTCACCCATTTCCTTGAAAATATCAGTTTCATTTTCCTTTAAAGTTATATAGAATTCCACTGTGTTTATGTATTAGTTCCCTTCTTTTGCTGTGATAAAATACCAGGATAAAAATCATCTTAGATAAGAAAGGGGTTTGTTTTGGCTTATGGTTTCAAAGGGGTAGAGTCCATTGTTGCAGGAAAGGCATGACAGCTGTTAAGGAAACCATGGTGACAGGAGCAGGAAACTGGCTGATCACACTTTCTATCCATACACAGGGTGCAAAGAGAACAGGAAGTAGAGCAAGATTATAAAACCTCCAGCCTATGCTTCCTGATGCTCCTCTAGCAAGGCTTCCCTTTTAAAGGTTGTGTAACTGCCACAAAAGTACCACTAAATAGTGCCTACAGCTGGGGGCCAAGTGCTAAAATATGTGGACATTTCTTAGTCAAACCTCCACAGAATATGTGCCAGGTTTTCTTTATCAGTTTATTTGTGGACTTCCAGGCTGGTTTTGTTCCTTGGGTGTTGTGAACAATACAGCAATAAACATGGATTTTTAAGCATCTTTGTGGTATACTGACTTTGAATCCTTTGGGTATGTACTAAGAAGGGTATAGCTGGGTCATATGGTTATTCTGTTTTCAGATTTTTTTTGAGGATTCTTCATACTGATGTTCATAGTGGCTATACATGTTTTCATCATCATAGCAGAGAATAAGGGTATTTCTTTCCTTATATCCCTGTGTGCATTTGTTGTTTTATATATGTATGTATATTTGATGATAGCCATTATGACTCGGCTGTCATGAGTTCTCGGAGCATTTCCCTGATGGCTAAGAACAGTGAACACTTTTTCATGTATTTATTGACCATTATATTTCTTCTTTTGAGAACTCCTTTATTGAGTAGATGCCTGGGTTTTGACGATTAATTTTGCAGTTCTTGGTGCCCTTGTTGTTATTCTAGAGCTGGTCTTGTACAGTCAATTCTCACCATGAGGGCACTCAAATCCAGTGGTAGATCTAAGTTTTGCTATGTTCTGTGGGCAGGAAAAGCATATAAACAGTATTTAAAAATATTTCAAGTTCAGTCCTTTTCTACATTCAGTTCAGTCTTCAAAACCTCTTTGGTAGTGGAAACTGTTATCAGGAGTGGTGGCAACAAGCAGTCATGATCCCTAGCTATAGAGTGTACCTGCAGCTTTTGAAGTAGCTGACCTTGTCATATGTGGCCACAGCCATAGAATGTTACTCTTACTTACAGATTAACCAAGCCTCATGATTTAGGTGGCATGGATCTGCCTAAGATACTGTGTTGTAATGCTGGCAAAGTGGCCATAGGTAGGAATATATTGCATTTGGCAGAAAGGAAGAATTTTATATTCCCCACTTTCTACAGATCAGAATAATGTGTTCTCAATAAAACAATTCTGCAGTGTTCTGAGTATTTGAAGCTTTAAAAAGTAATTTGTTCTTCTGTGTTTCTCAAACACATGTGGTAGTTTATGTAAAGTTATGCAATTAAATGAGCTCGAGACTAAAGGTAAAGGTATTGGGCTTTCAAAGGAAAAGATGGCAAGGACTTTGGAACCATAGCAAATATGGTAAGCTTGTGGTGTCCTTTGTGGGACTGAAGACAAGGACTTAAGGTTTGGCTGGCAGTTCCTAGGAGCAAGAGCAAAAAGGGAATTCAAGTACATGGTCTCTTGTGTTGGGGAGATGAACATTTTAAGATAAAAGTTTCAGCTGCCACTGGGGCCCAAGGGAAAAATTGTGTCTGGTAGGTGTTTTTTTTTTTTTTTTTTTTTTTTTTTAAGAGAACTGAACTGAACGGTTACAGAGTCTTGAACAATAGTCCATTCATTGAAAGCAGGTCTGCTCCAGCAAGATCGATGCTGTTCAAGCTTGTAAGTATTGAGGTTTTCAGTTCCTGGGACTGGGTCTAGCTGTTTCTCCTTGTTCTGTTCCCTTGGACAAGCACTTGAAAATCAGTTGGAAATACTGCAACCTTGTTTTTAGAAAAGCCCTAACTTAAAGTCCACATAGAAGTCCACA